TTCCATCAATTAATTTCATTAATTCCATTAACCGGGGATTAAGATTTATTTTTAGACGACCAGTATGACCTATGAAATTCACTATTAACATTTTACCATTATTTTATAGTACATTAATATTCCATCAATTAATTTCATTAATTCCATTAACCGCGGATTAAGATTTATTTTAAGTTTCATTTTTGAGACGACGAGTATGACCCACGAAATTCACTATTAACATTTTACCATTATTTTCTAGGACATTAATATTCCATCAATTAATTTCATTAATTCCATTAACCGGGGATTAAGATTTATTTTAAGTTTCATTTTTGAGACGACGAGTATGACAAATGAAATTCACTATTAATATTTTACCATTATTTTCTAGGACATTAATATTCCATCAATTAATTCCATTAATTCCATTAACCGGGGATTAAGATTTATTTTAAGTTTCATTTTTGAGACGACGAGTATGACAAATGAAATTCAGTATTAACATTTTACCATTATTTTGTAGGACATTAATATTCCATCATGCTGGAATGATGTATTTTTAACGAAGGCACGGGGTGGTTGGGTGGGGGTTAAAGTTTATTTGCGATTTCATTTCTGAAATGGAGGATAATGAGCGAGACATGCCAATTAATATTCTATTATTTTATCATGAATATTCTATCGTAATGGGTTAGATAGAATATGCGGGATTAAGATTTATTCGTGGCTTTTCTTTTTTTTTTATCCCCGAGATGGAGAATAATAAATGAAATGCATTATTAATTATTTAGAATATTAATATCCTACTGTGCTTCGGTATTTGTTATTATTATCCGCGATCTCATCTGGATCTTTTTAAACGATGGCGGCACAGTCTTTTCTTATTACTAGTTACCTCGTGTATTAGAATTTAGCGAACTGTTATATTCGGAATTATCGTTTAAAGTAATCGGGGGATTATGAAGCCTCGCGTAAATTGAATTTCAATTACGACGCGGAAAGCAAACGCTTTAACACTTACGCCGTATAGGTTTATGGATAAATTAATTTTCATTCAAAATTCGCCAAGATCACAGAACAAAAGCATGATAAGCCCTTTCTTGCTTGTTCTTTCTTTAAAAAAAGATTCGTAAAAATGTTCAATTTCATCGTCAACGGAAGCAGGATCCATTAACGTCTCGAAGAATAGATATAATCCTCCGATTCATTTAAACAAACGCGAAAAAGGAGAGAAAGTATATATATCGTTCAGCATAATGCAGGCACATATACATCGTGATGGAGTACTGCGACGGCGGCGATCTATCGAGTTTTATAAAGAGGAGGCACAAGCTACCTGAGAAAGTTTGCCGCCGATTTTTGCAGCAGCTCGCGCTCGCCCTGCGATACCTGCGCGACAACGACGTTTGCCACATGGACTTGAAGCCGCAAAATTTATTGCTAACGAGAAGGCCGCAGTTAACGTTAAAAGTCGGAGGTTCGTTTCCA